AGTGTTGATCACCACCATAGAGCTGGAGTGTTGATCACCACCATACAGCTGGAGAGTTGATCACCACCATGCAGCTGGAGTGTTGATCACCACCATACAGCTGGAGTGTTGATCACCACGGTACAGCTGAAGTGTTGATCACCACCATAGAGCTGGAGTGTTGATCACCACCATACAGCTGGAGTGTTGATCACCACCATACAGCTGGTGTGTTGATCACCACCATACAACTGGAGTGTTGATCACCACCATACAGCTGGAGAGTTGATCACCACCATACAGTTGGAGTGTTGATCACCAACATACAGCTGGAGTGTTGATCACCACCATACAGCTGGAGCGTTGATCACCACCATACAGCTGGAGTGTTGATCACCACCATGCAGCTGGAGAGTTGATCACCACCATACACCTGGAGCGTTGGTCACCACCATAGAGCTGGAGTGTTGATTACCACCATACAGCTGGAGTGTTGATCACCACCATACAGCTGGTGTGTTGATCACCACCATACAGGTAGAGTGTTGATCACCACCATACAGCATGGTGTGTTGATGACCACCATACAGCTGGAGTGTTGATCACCACCATACAGCTGGTGTGTTGATCACCACCATACAGCTGGAGTGTTGATCACCACCATACAGCTGTTTGCTTTCTCCACATCCTGCTGACAAAGAGGATTCAGTAGTCACGGACGAAAATGACATCACCAATTGTATCGTGACGTTAAATCATTTCACAGGAGCGTGATGTCTATCCCACTACTGTCCGCATTCACGTGAAAATTGAGTCTTACGGAAAATAACTTATAAAGTGTGTGTGCCTGTGCGTGCATGCGTGCCTCTATGTGCATGCCTCCCTCTAACTCTCTCCCTCTCTCTCTCTCTCTCTCACTCTCTCTCTCTCTCTCTCTCATCAAAACATCACCATCAGATAACCATTTTCTTGTTTCTTTCTTTTAAATCCACCTTCCAAAACGGAATATATACTTTGTTTTCAAGACGTTTAAGTTTTAAATTGGCTATAAACTATTTACAGTTAAAAATCGGTCAGTTTCATTTCCAGGACATTTTAACATTTGTAAACTCTGGATGCCCAACCATTAAGTGTATTTCAGAATTTAAAATCACCTTCTCACTATTGAAATTGGCAGATGGCACAATAAAACAATTCTAAAAATGAACCTATGCTTTTAGTACAATGCCATATGTTTAAAAAAAGTACCCTGCAAATGTCCATTCATGTGGAAAATATAGAATGTTATAGAATCCTTTGCCAAGCAGATAGGAACGTCTTCTAACTCAGATGTGTGATAGTGTAGAAAGGTCGCTTAGTTATGCTCCAGTGTTTTGTATTGCTTATTGTATAACGCTACAATCAACACTGTGTCGGGTATACCTCGGCTGTCTGGGCAGACTGGGGTGCTAAGACTGACTAAGACTGCAAGCTGATTCCTCATGCCCCCTATTACGACATCAAAGGTTTCTGGGGATGTGTTGGATGATGATTCAGTAGGGCATGCTTATAGTTTCTGCATTATATGTGACATAAAATTATAAATGTTATAACGGGTAATTCCATCCGTTGGTGGATACCATTAGAGTGAGTAGTGTCCCTTGTCGTCGGTTGATATCATGAGTAGTGTCCCTTGTCGTCGGTTGATATCATGAGTAGTGTCCCTTGCCGTAGGTTGATATCATGAGTAGTGTCCCTTGCCGTTGGTTGATATCATGAGTAGTGTCCCTTGCCGTTGGTTGATATCATGAGTAGTGTCCCTTGCCGTTGGTTGATATCATGAGTAGTGTCCCTTGCCGTTGGTTGATATCATGAGTAGTGTCCCTTGTCGTCGGTTGTTATCATGATCATTGTCCCTTGCCGTTGGTTGATATCATGAGTAGTGTCCCTTGCCGTTGGTTGATATCATGAGTAGTGTCCCTTGTCGTCGGTTGATATCATGAGTAGTGCCCCTTGCCGTTGACTGATATCACGATTAATGTCCCTTGCCGTTGGTTGATATCATTAGAGACGTCTATTATCGTTGATTGATATCATGATCATTGTCCTTGCCGTCGGTTGATATCACGATCAATGCCACTTGTCGGTTGACATAATGGGTGCTTCCTTTTCGTTAGTAACGCTAAAATCAACCTTGTAATCGAATCTGACAACGCAAATCATAGCAATCTAGTTGCCTCACTCGCCCAGGTAGTTTCACGAACCAATGTACGTCATATAGTAGTAGTTCTCTCACATTTCGTATTATCATAACACAGAATTACACCATATATATTCATAAGCAGACAGCTGGGATAGACACGCACTTTCATGAACCTCATATGAAAAGAAATATTTTCTTTCACTTTATGGAAGCACGCCAAAAAATAGACAGGATATTGATATGTACCTGTCAACGAGACAAGGAACCATTGGTCCACGATTGTGGATCGGACCATGAAACACTGCATTCGAATAATCCTTTTAGATTATCTGGGCAACAAATTATACGATGACACGGGCGCTTTCTTTAAAGTTCCAATCTCTGTGTTATGTATATATGTGCATTCTTTGTCAAGTGCAGTAGCAAAGAAAACATTGATCGCTGTTCTGTATTGCTTTTATAGGTTTAGGGTCGGCGAGTGGCTTCATCACACAATGGATATTTGGGTTTGCCTCTTGGCAGCTCCAGCTTATTGTTAGTTTCAGTTAGTTAGCCAATCCTATATGTGATCTGTGTGACATAGCGGTAGTGGTTATAATAGCTTTTACTGCATATAACGTATGAAAGGAGTGTTTGTCAGTTGAGGATTCAACAGACAGTTCATGGGCTTTTGTTGATGTACTGGAATATTAATGTCATAACGTGTTTAGCGTGAGGTCAGACTTGGCAAAACCTTGTAAAATATGATAGAGACCGAGTTAATATTGAAGGTGAAGGTGTGGAGAGGAATGGGGTAGTTGGGTCTGGGAGGGGTATAAAGACGTGGGCAGATATTTAAATAGACAAACATGTTGACGCCACTCCCTTGGAAAACAACATATTCACTTAACCATCCGCGTGTTTAGTTTTTGTTTTGTTTAACCCGTGGGACATGTTTTGTTAGGAACATGTTATATCCACCCACCAAGACACTCTCCTCACCATGACCCCTTTCCTAATCTTACCCCCACAACCTAACCATTGACTCCCCCTCGACACAGCCGGCCAGACACAGTCGGTCCAACATGGACTGGCCATGGATGGTTTACTATGTAAATTGTGTCTAATGACAAGTACGGATTGGACGTATTGAGAATCAGTCACCGTTTAGTGATATTGCTTGCTTCGCTATGGCAACAGGTTTGTCCAGTCAGAAACAACAGTTACTCTGATGATATCATGAATCGTCAGACCTTCTTTCCGACCGAAATGTTCACGAAATAAACAGTAGTTTGTGTTTTTTATTTGGCGCCGCATTAAGCATTTTCATGCTCTGCTTCAGACAAGCCAGTGATTGATATTGTGTGTAACGACCTACGTAGTCGGGGTACAACCACTGAATCTGATCCACACCGTGAACATCGGCTGTAGGAGTGAGTGAGTGAGTATGGTTTTTTGCCGCTTTTAGCAACATTCCAGCAATATCACACCAGAAATGGGCTTCACACATTGTACCCATGTGGGGAATCGAACCCGGGTCTTCGGCGTGACAAGCGAACGCTTTAACCACTAGCTTACCCCACCGCCCCTCATTGGCTGTATGAACCAAGTCTAGTGTTGCGTTCATTATGATCTACAGTTCATCCATGAAGCAGTAAAGACAATATTCAAATAGCTTTAACTAAAATAATTAGCAAATTGTTTCAACAAAATACGATAATTTAAGAATTGGAATCAGAATTATTTCCGCTCGGCGTGAGTTCGAATCTGAGAATAAGATCTGAAATATTTCCTCTGCTGGTTATCACCACATTATTTACGTTCGAATATCAGGAGACAAACATCTAGTCCCTGGATTGAATATATCTTACGAGGGAAACCCGTTCTCAAATTATACCAAAAATTCTGTAATAAATACGATCAAGGACACCTTCTTCATTTTCTGAAACTGCAGCAATCCAGACTGGGGCGGTATTGGATATCTATGTACAGTCAAACACAAGTCTTGTGGAAGTTTAACTGACTGGATAAATAGTTATCCGAAATTCAATATAAAGTGATGACGCGTACGAGTAGCGTATACGCAGGGACCAAGTTTTACTTCGAAACAAGCGTGAGTTCGACACATTAATCTTCGATACAACGTGTTTGACTGTATTTGTTTGACAGACAACTAAAGTAAAGTTTCATACTACCAGCGTCACGTTGGGTTTCCCTCCCATATGTATAGGGGCACGGGTTGATTAGGCACCAGAAAGTGAGTGAGTGAGTGAGTTATTACTTAACGTCACATCGGCAATATTTCAGCCATATCGTGACGAGCACCAGAAAGTGAGTTCGACACATCGATGTTCAAAACAACAATGTTTGACTGAATTTGTTTCAGGGTCTGTATGTCAGACAACTAGAGTAAAGCGTCACTTTGATTTTCCTCCCATGTGAATCGAGGGAACAGGTTGAATTGGCGCCAGAAATGTTCGGCAGTTATCTCCCTTAGGCGTGCCAGCATCCCGTGATCCCACTTTCGTTCTGATTATGTCTCAAAGCTTATCAGCATCTTACTCACGCTCGAGCTTTTTCACCACAGTGGGAAACATCGAAGACATCTAAATACCTGTTTAAAGGCTATTTCCCCAAACCTCACCACACGACAACGACACAACCACATGACAACGACACAACCACATGACAACGACACAGCCACATGACAACGACACAACCACATGACAACGACACAACTACATGACAATGACACATGATGACCTGACTGAAATAATATGACAAAGACGTTAAACTCAATCTGCTGATAATACTTTCCGATTTTCTTCTACCTGGGATTAACATATGCAATGAAAACAAATAAAATAAAAATATGATTTATTTTATTATGTCATTTGGTAAATGACATTTTTCTTTGGACAACCACAGGTTGATGTCTGAATATGTTTGCTTCACTAAAGGTCTGTGTACCTTTTCACACAGACCACACCAGGGTAATGGAAAATACACCCGACGCTTATCTTTTGCTTTCAAAAGTTCTATATAGGCTTTATCATTGTTTAAAAGAAAGTTCAAATAATATCCTAGCTCTCTTATGTTTGCAAAATCTTTTGAGTCTATGATATAACCGCCTCCAAATAGATTCTTGTAATTTGGGCCACCACGCACCACTGGAATCACATCTTGCAGAAGTGTTTTGAAGAATTTCTCAGTCACATAATTCTCACAAAAGGAATTTTCAAATGCAAGATAAAATTTATAGGATTTTAACTTTTCATAGCAGTCCTTGACGCACTTTCTATCACCACACCTTCCAAACACATCTATATCGATGTACCTCTGCAGTTCTTTGACGTATTTTTCTCTTTGGCTGTGTGAAGCACAGCGACTAACGAACCATGCAACACTGTTCGTTTTTTCTTTTACCAACTTTTCATAGTTTTTCCCTTTCAAACCGGATGTCCTTTTCCGTACCATTCCATAAGGCCTCCACACATCCGAATCTGGACGATAGGTTATTGTCCAGTTGAAAGCGTCTTTCCATTCGGAAGGTATTGTCAAATATGTTGGTGGTTCAAAGGAAAAGAGAGCAAACATTTGATTGGCTGATCTGGGTGGTGGCGCCCCCTTGTGTAGGTTAAATCCATCAACAAGCACAACATCCGCTCCAGCGAGATCGTGACGATTGTATGATAATGTACACATCTTGTACTTACAACGTCCAAACAATTCTGAACCCTTTTGTCTTTGAATCCATGCTGGTGCATTGAACCAAACAATCTCTTTCACGGTGCTTGGTTTCTGTGTAGTATGTAACAATGTTGTAACACTGCGCACATCCTTGACATTTCTCCACGCGCCCTTGACCTTCAGAGAAGTCCTATTATAAACAGGTGACGTGCCGACACTGTTTGCTTGTGTGATCACATCGTCAAATTTTCCCTTTAAATTTCTTTCAACCCACTGTTTTCTGAAAACTGGTTTTCCGTAAAGCAAAGCCTGCTTATTGTCTGTAAACTCGCCCTCGTTAGGAGCCATCTGGTTGGCTGATCCTTTACGCCGGATCTGTTCAAGTCTGGATATTTCACGGAAGCTGAGGACGAATGTTGTCACAGCGAACACTGTCGTCATGTACACGTGATACTTTCGAAACTTCCTGGATGCCAGTCCTATAAACTGAAACAAAAAAGAGCAATTAAGCTAAAACAATTTTCAATATCCAAACATAAAACGACGCAGCGTTCGAAATTAACGTCAGACTTAGGCCCGAAGCCGACTGAAAACCACTCAGACCCACAGCTTTTGTTTTATTGCAGGTTTTTATGGCCGACAGCTTTTCCATCCCCAATAACTGAGAGTATTATTTACATTTTGAAATATAGGGCCTACACATTCTGATCAGGACCCACAACTTTTTATAGTTCTGCAGCTTTTCAGGGTGAAAAAGGAAACACTTAAACAACGTCAGTTTGTAATCAATGATATATCAGTTATCTGCCAAAACATATATTTAATATTTGATACGGGTACGGTAATATACGTTTAGTGTGTCGGCGAGTGGTTTCATACTAAATTAGTATCGTATGACACAGATTTCATGATTAGATGGTCTAGTAGTTAAAAAGGCTAAGAAGTCCGGGTTTGATTCCCAAATTGGTGCAATGTCTTAGCTTATGTTGTGCGTTCTCCGCCCGTATATATGAACTATAAATCCATTTCACTAAGTGTACAGATATCAAGAGTTAAAGCAGATGTTATTGCTAATAAATAAAAGCTCTTGTGTATAGAATGTTAACAGACAAATACAGGAAACACTGCAGGCAGGTTCGTAGTCTGTATTTAGCAACAGATAGCACAATAAACTCTTCAAAAAAAAAGAAACGCACAGGCATTTTCAGCAGTTCTTTTCGATATAATAGCCATGTCCTACACGGGTGGATCAGAGCTAGTGGTGGTTCAAGGCAATCTTACATCGGCCGAAATCTGAGACCTCACATCCTTCTACTTATTAACCGCAAGAGGTAGCTGTTTCACCACGACCACGCCCGACCCCACACAGCTAACAGGTGCCTGTCTCGCCATTACAAACGTCATTGTCCTTCCCGGGCCTTGCAAGTCGCCTGACGACTTGTGGAATCCCTTCCATTGTGGTGTCGAGCAGTGAGGGGAGGTGTCACCAGGTATTGACCTGAACGCTTCCTTGTGTCCATACATGTGCAGTGAGTGAGTGAACTGATTTAATGCTGAGAACGACAACAATGCATAAGTTCATCCGTGTGTCGAAGTTACTTCATCTATGTTCAAGCTTAATCGAAATCTTAAATTTCCTTATTTTCATCCTGTGCGTTTCTTGTTTTGAAGAGTTTTAAATGTTAAAGAAAAAAAATGATAGAATGGCAATATGGAAAACAATTAGCCACTAGATACATAATTACATATATAATAATAAAGAATAACCAAAGTAAAAAACAACACGCATACTCATGGTTCAGGTTTCGTCAGTATTGTACAGTCGACTCTGTTTCTATTGCATGTTTTGGTATGGTTTGTTGTTTAACAATATTCCAGATATATGACGGCGGTCTGTAAATAATCGAGTCTGGACCAGACTATCCACTGATCAACATAATGAGCATCGTTCTACACAATTGGGATAGGAAGTCAGCCAGCCTGATCACACCCGATCCTAGTCGCCTATTACAAGCTTAAGTTGCTGAAGACCAATTCTAACCGGGATCTTCTCGGGTCCCTTCAGTCATAGTGTTACATCGGTAACACAGGGTGTTGACACAAGCTGATAAGCAGTGTTTGCCCTCAATGAAAATACAACCTTACAGATCAAACATGTCCTCGCTTGTAAATATTGTCAATACTTTTGAGTGTTGGGACTGAAAAACTCAATGGTGCTGCTCTGGAAACTTTCAACAAAACACTTCAGTATATCGAGAGTTGAAAAGTATGCCTAATAATGACTATACATGTTATCATCGTGATTATTATCATTATTATTAAAATATGTAACTTCATAATCCATACCTAGAAATGACATATACCAAAGTGAGTGTGGTTTTACGCCGTATTTACATACAGCAATATTCTTGCAGCATAACAGCAGAGGACATGATAAATATTCCAAAATGTATAATTGTATCATTATGGAAAGTGAGATAATTGCTGCAAATATGAATTCAGTTTTGATTTACCTTTAAAGAAGTTACGATTAAATAGCAGTTTTACACCAAAATATCAGCTTATCTTTCAAGGCGGTGCATCATCGGCTTCCGAGTGGCGATGTTGTAGCCATCAAGTGGTTAAACTGTTCGATCTTTGCGTCGGAACTGCCAGTTCGATTACCTGCGTTGGTAAAATGTTTGAAGCCATATCTTGACTCACTCACTTACTCACTCTCACTCACTCACTCACTCACTCACTCACTCACTCACTCACTCACTCACTCACTCACTCACTCACTCACTCACTCACTCACTCACTCACTCACTCACTCACTCACTCACTCACTCACTCACTCACCCGACCCACCGACCCACCCAACCAATCACTCACCCACTCGCTCACTCACTCACGGTGGTGGTCAATCTCATTCACCCGGTGAGGTTCACTCGTATCCCAAAAGATGTTCTTGATACATTGATTAATTACAGACCCGCCATATAGCTGAAATGTTGCTGAGTTGTGTCACCATGTTAATATGTGGAAAATAAAAACTTTCAGAAATATATTTCACGTTATGTGGTATTGGAAATTATTACAGACTAACCGACAACGTTCTACTGTATTTAACCTGCCAAGCGTGACATTGAGAATGAGCATCAGTCCTAATCCGAGACCAGCATCTCGTATTGTGCTGTTCAGATAGAATTAGGTAACAGTGCAAGTATCTGTGTTGTTTTTTTACTTTGTTTATCATCCTTACATATGAAATCAAATGTACCACGTATACACCTGTGGCATACAAGCTGAGCAACTACTCTAGTTCAGTGAACTTCACCCTTCAACACCATGACCATCAACACCTTTATCATCAACACCATGATCATCAACACCTTTATCAAAACTACATCATAATTCTGTCAGAATACGTTCGCAATAACGAACTTATTGTCAGTCTAAATGGGCAATAAGATCGAAGGACGGTGGGGTAGCCCAGTGGTTAAAGCTTTCGCTCGTCACGCCGAAGACCTAGGTTCGATTCCCTTTGTAACAATGTCTTAAACCCATTTCTTGTGTCCCCCGCCGTGATGTTGCTGGAATATTGCTAAAAGCTGCGTAAAACTAAATTCACTCACGCATTAAGATGGAGACCAATCGATTTAAGATCACAACAACAATTTTTTCGGCAGTTTAATCAGTAAGTGTGATTATCTGTTAGCTGGAATATGTATAAAATTAGGACGACAGTCAATCAAAAAACACTCCACGACTGATTAATAAACTCATCGTTTATTTAATCAAATCTTGGATTGCTGTGTGGGCTTGGTACAATGGTACCTCTGCCAAGCGAGTTGATTCCCCTCGTTTTTAATAGTAACATCGTTTAAATTCCTTAAATAAACTTTCTCGAATGTGAATAGGCTTTTTTTCATATTTGTGTTTGGTATTTGCTGAAAGCGCCCAGGCCAGCCTCTATTTGAATATGGGTACTGTTGCTTTCAATTCAAAATGCCTGAAGCAAGACACATACCCGGAAATATGTGAAAATGAATGGGACCTACCTAAAGTCAACATTAGATCCATCCTCTCCTCATCTCATTGAAACAAATATATCGAACATTAGGAACATATTAATGGATCTTTCAACGAAGGTCATGTTGTCATTTACGAACTATATATGTATGCGATTCAATAACATGGAATGAGAAAAATCTTCAATAACAGAATTATTATAACAATATATTGCAAAATGGATTACTATTTTATAGGACTGCATAGTATTACCGGTATACCGGTATGTCGAAATTCGCTTTTCAAAAGATTGCCATATTGCAATGATATTTTTCTCAGAACCGGTATATTGGTGATAGAAATGTATGTTTTGTGATTATCTATATGGTTTAAAATCTACACAGACTTTCATTCCATCGTAGTCATTGACAACAGCATACGTAACAAACAATAAATTCTATAAAATGGATAATACAATCCCTTAAAATCAAACATAATTTCCAGATGTCTGTTATCACAACCATGACATTTATTTTTAGTGTGTGGAAAATACGGTTTGCATGTACAAACAATGTCACTGACTGTCAAACACTGAAGTTTCCAGTGTATCGCAACACGTATCGGAACCAGGAACCAGAATCACAACATATTGCAAAACAATATATACTCATGCCAATAATGGTTGTAACCCATTCAATATTTTTAATTGGAGAGGGGAAGTGGGGTGGGGTGTGAGGTTGGGGTGGGGAGGGTGGTGACAACCATTATTGGCATGAGTATATTTGCCAATACACAGCTCTACTATTTTAGATATGTCTCTTCACTCGCTCAAGAAAGGCGGTGGGGTAGCCTAGTGGTTAATGCGTTCATCCGTCACGCCGAAAGGCCCGGGTTTGATTCCACACATGGGCACAATGTGTGAAGGCCACTTCTGTGTCCCCTCGCCGTGACATTGCTGGAATATTGCTAAAAGCGGAGTAAAACTAAACTCACTCACTCACTCACTCCTCACTCAGCCTCAGTATCATGAGACTATCCCAAATTACAAACGAAATAAGTCGAGTTGCCCAAGCTTCGGCACACCCGTAGAATGATGGAAAAAAAACCAATCAATAAGGAATAAGGATCAGGATTTCGAGCCGACCGTAAGTTCAAGACATCGAAGTTCGTTACAACGGCGTTTGACTGTAGCACGAATATTCTTAAAGTCCATGCCCATACGATCCTACATGTACAATATTTCGCCTATGGTCTACTTTCACATTTTTATATATGCGACAAAATCATTTCCATTATCACAAAACCTCTGTACTAAAGCAGAGTCCGTTTCGTGGATCCGAAAATAGAATAGCCATGTGTTTGTGAATCACTATCAAATAAGGTTATTGAGAGGCATATAGAAGTTGGTATTCAAGTATAAGACAAAATATTATATGTAAAATATTATTACCATTCACCTGACGAAGGGGCAAGGAAAAGCCCAGAAACCTTGTATATAGCATAAAGAAGAAGTTGACATCCATAATATTTTGTCTTACACTATCAAGTAGAGATACAACAAGGTGTTAGCTAAAAGGTATCATAAACACACGAAATGGCAGGTCATTTGTACACCTAAAGGAACTATATATGTCTGGTACAATTAAAAAAGGGAACTTACCCTCTGTGCCCCCATGTCTCCCCCAAGCTCGTCCCACAGCGTTGTCAGTCTCCCTCCCTCAAGACGAGCAAGTGAGCTGACTGTCTATTTAACCGCTCTGTATTGCTACGAGACACCCAGAGCGACGCGCGGAGTAGGCAAACACGAAACAGTTTGCTTGGAGGTGATGGTCACACAGCGGTTTTTGTGTCGTATGGGAGCTGGTCAATACGTAGTGTGTATGCACGTGATTACGGGACGAAAAATCTAAATTAACTTTTCACAGGTCAAGGTTATTGCAAACATTGTCATGTTTCGACTTTGCTCAAATCATTTCTAAGCTTGAAACCAGTATGCATTCATCAAGTATATGCGGTAATGGCTTCCTCGCATGAGTGGGTTTATAGCCGTTATGTTGACGCCCGTCGGTTTGATACAAACAAAGACCTATTTACCTATGTGTCAGGGTGGCCGCACCCACTTCTGGGACAATAAATGCGATGTATTGATAAACACAGCCACATACTCTGGTATAACATGTGATTCGAATCGTTATTTGTTAACTGTGAGCGGTTTTAAAAAATCCACAAAAGTATTGTTAATAACTCTGAAAACCACTTTGAAATCGAAACGATAGACATGAATTATATCCATGATAAATAAGTTTAAAAATAACATAAACGTATGATCCAATCCAAGATTCGCTCTGATAAGATTGTCATGCAGTATGTATCTGTACGTGACAGTGACATGACACAGCAGAAGAAGGCAACGTGACAAAGACAACATAGGCATTTCACACAGCCGAACAACATAGACAGTTCACACAGCCGAACAACATAGACAGTTCACACAGCAGAACAACATAGACAGTTCACACAGCAGAACAACATAGACAGTTCACACAGCAGAACAACATAGACAGTTCACACAGCCGAACAACATAGACAGTTCACACAGCAGAACAACATAGACAGTTCACACAGCAGAACAACATAGACAGTTCACACAGCAGAACAACATATACAGTTCACACAGCAGAACAACATAGACAGTTCACACAGCAGAACAACATATACAGTTCACACAGCAGAACAACATAGACAGTTCACACAGCAGAACAACATAGACAGTTCACACAGCAGAACAACATAGACAGTTCACACAGCAGAACAACATAGACAGTTCACACAGCAGAACAACACAGCCACAAAATCCCCAACACAGCCAAGAACATTTCCCACAGGAAGACAGCCCCAGAACATCGAATAAGGACACACACGCCAAAGAACATTTCACAGGACACAGACGAAGAACACAATCACAGGACACAGAAATCCGGAGAAAGAACATTTCCAGAACACAGTCGAAGATAGCAACACAGAACAAACCCACAGGACACAGACGAAGAACAAACCCACAGGACACAGCCGGAGAACATAGACAAAAAGACAACACAGGCAAAATAATACACAGCAGAACAAACCACAGGACACAGACGAAGAACACAGCCATGGTCAGGACACAAGCCAACGAACAGAACATTTCCACAGGACACAGACGGAGAAACAAACCCAGAACACAGACGAAGAACAAAGTACCAGACAGGACACAGACGGAGAACAAACCCCACAGGACACAGACGGAGAACATAAACAAACCCACAGGACACAGACGACGAGAACAAACCCACAGGACACAGACGGAGAACATAACCATGTCCTCCGGGACACAGACGAAGAACATAGCCACAGTACACAGACGAAGAACAAACCCACAGGACACAGACGGAGAACAAACCCACAGGACACAGACGGAGAACAAACCCACAGGACACAGACGGAGAACAAACCCACAGGACACAGACGGAGAACAAACCCACAGGACACAGACGAAGAACAAACCCACAGGACACAGACGGAGAACAAACCCACAGGACACAGACGGAGAACAAACCCACAGGACACAGACGGAGAACAAACCCACAGAACACAGACGGAGAACATAACCATGTCCTCCGGGACACAGACGAAGAACATAGCCACAGTACACAGACGAAGAACAAACCCACAGGACACAGACAAGAACAGACACAGACGGAGAACAAACCAGTACACAGACGGAGAACACAGAGGACACAGGACACAGAGAAGAACATAGGAGAACAAACAAACCACAGGACACAGACGGAGAACATAACCATGTCCTCCGGGACACAGACAAAGAACATAGACAGACGAAGAACAAACCCACAGGACACAGACGGAGAACACAGGACACACAGATGGAGAACAAACCCACACAGAAGGAGAACACCCACAGACGAAGAACAAACCCACAGGGCACAGACGAAGAACAAACCCACAGGACACAGACGGAGAACATTACCACAGTCCAGACGGGACACAGACGAAGAACATACAGGACAAAGACGACTGAAGAACAAACCCACAGGACACAGACGGAGAACAAACCCACAGGACACAGACGGAGAACATACCACAGTACACAGACGAGACGGAGAAGGACAACATGCCCTCCGGGACACAGACGGAGAACACAGTACACAGACGAAGAACAAACCCACAGGACACAGACGGAGAACATAACCACAGTACACAGATGAAGAACAAACCCACAGGACACAGATGAAGAACAAGCCCACAGAACACAGACGGAGAACATAGACAAAAGACAACATAGGCAAAATACACAGCCAAAGAACTCAACCACAGCACACAGACGAAGAACATAGCCATGGTCTCCGGGACACAGCTGGAGAACAAGCCCACAGGACACAGCCAAAGACTCAGGCCACATCTGAAGAACAAGCCCACAGGACAAAGCCAAAGAACGAAACCCACAGGACACAATCGAATAACACAGTCTCAGGCCACGGCGGAAGAACAAACCCACAGGACACAAACCAAGCCACAAACACAGCCACAGGACACAAGAATGCTAAAATACCAAGCGTTAGCATGATACTTTTCGCTCTTGAATGACATGTTTTGTGCAAATAGTTATATTCACACTAGGTGTCTGGTAACACCATGTTCACTGACGTTATGTTTGTAGCTTGGATTGTCCTTGTACAAACAGCATTTGTGACAAAGACACAAAGAGAAATGCTTGTAACAGGTATTTCTCCCTCAGTCTCTGGTTGTAACGGCTCTACCCTTGTAGGTCTCATGTCTCTAGACCCCTGTTGTTACAAGGTATAATTTGCTCTCCTGTTCTGTTCAATTGGATTGCACCCCGTAGACTCCACAGACTCTGATCGAAAGGTTATTTCAACTCCCGCTAATTGAACGACTTATTCTCTTCCTGAGCATCAGTGAAGGACGACAAAATGTAGTTATTGCATATGTTTAGGACACACGCACGCACGCACGCACGCACGCACGCACGCACGCACGCACGGACGGACGGACAGACAGACGGACGCACGGACGGAGAGACAGGCACATTGTCATGTGTATAGTTGTTACACAGTTTAAGTTTACAACACACCCAACCATATTTGTTCTCAGAAATACCCTTCTGCTTCTGTGGTAATAATGAATAAACTATAACGATCCTTAACCATGGTACCACTGAAGTCAAGGGAGAACTCATATAAGAACCATCAAATACAAATTTGCTCTTTTCTAATCCAACAGTGTACATGTACACACATATGTAGGCAAACAAAAGCAATTATCAAATATCCGTAGCGTCCTTTAATAGTAGTTTGCAAAACACTTCAGTTGCGACACGCCATGCGGGTTCAAAGTAACTTGTTTGAGATGTGTATCTACCCTATATAGCTGTCGTATTTTTGAGAGGGCGTTAAATCTGCTCGATTGTAAATACACTTTCCACCACTCACACAGAACATTATGTGTGCGTGATGACAGGGAGGGACTGAGTACACATCCAACATATTCCATCAAAATAATCATACAATGTCCACCATAATTTTAATATTTATATACAATTATAATCAACAAATTCAATCAAATAATCATACATTTTCCACCATGATTGTACTATTTATGTACAATTTATAATCAACACATAACATCAAAATACTCAATGAATGTCCACCATGACTGTAATATTTATATACAATTTTAATCACCATATTTCATAGAATAATCATACAATGTCCACCATAACTGTAATACTTATATACAATTATAATCACCATATTAAACCAAAGAGATCAGTTGGTCAGTCTCAGCTCCCTGTGAAGTGTCCACACAGAGATTGGATCCTTCACGCTGTTCCAGTAGTTTCCCTTCTCTGTACCTTCGGGTTTATAATAATTTAATAATTCATCTGTGTTTGTTTATAAGGATTGCTTGGCTGAAATTTGATCTTGAAAATATTCTTGGAGGGGGGTTTTATGAGTTGTATGATCTTGTGACCGATCCTTTTCACTTTGTGAATAAATATGTTTAAACAAAACTAAAGCTGCTAACAACAGAGGTGTCTCACACGTGAAGACACTGGATTTGATGGAGAGACTACGGCATAAAGCAGCATGCATGTGTTAGGTTGTTTCTTTTATTGTTTAACGTCAGCATCATTCAAAGTTTAAGACATAATTATCGAGTGAGTGAGTAAGTTTAGTTTTATGCCACTTTTAGCATTATTCCAGAAATATCACGGCGGAGGACACCAGAAATGGGCTTCACGCATCGTACAAATGTGGTGAATCGAACCCGGGTATTCGGTTAAACAAGCGAACACTTTAACCACTAGTGTGCGGATGACAAAGTCATAATTGGGACAGTACTCGGTTGAACATCCAGTTTTGTAGAGAATATGAGCCTTGGCAGTTGTGCGGATGACGAAGTCATATCTGATTCATAACTTGGCTGAATATGTCCTGTTGTAGAAGTTATGAGCCTTGACAGCTGAAGCGATAGCCTGTGCATCACGTGACATAAGCCTGTAAAAATGTGGTTTGGTGAAACTTCAATTTCTCCTATAATTGCCTTTGTAATATGTTGTGTTAAACGAGTAACGAACGTATGTCACGCTCCTCAAGTTATTCAAGGGAATACAGACCATTGCTTCATTATCGGGTGACTCGGTACAGCTCCGTACATATATCGAGCAACCACTCTGAATAAAGACAAATGTCCACACAGTTGTTGCGTCAACGCACGCTTGGGTCAAAATGACACGCTTATATTCTCAACCGGCATGCATCAAATACGCAGGCTAGGACAAACATGCCCTATAGTGAGTG